GCGCAGAATCGGCAGCCGATTCGAATTGTCATTAAATCTGAAACAGTTATCTTCGAGGTAAAGCGCAAACAAAATAACAAAGTGAAGCGACAGGCAGGCAAAACTGGACTTCCGAGGACCGAAGACGCCGATGTCTAGTTTGTACTAACACAGTCGAACTGCTAATGCATGTTCAAGGCGCAAATTGGTCTTAACGGGCAGCTACGAATCCATCGAAATAAAATAATTCTCAGTGCATCCACCGCTTCTCATAACAATAACACCACCGACAGAACCGTTTCACAGTGTTACCACGCTTTCGAGTTAGGCGTGGTCCTTGTGGATAATGCTCCCAGTCATCGTAACTCCAGCCGTTCCCAAAGACATAAAACAATCGGCAACCGGGTCGGCATAGGACCCATTTGTCTACACTACGACTGAACTGTCCAATCACTGTTTAGCCCAGTCAAATATCTGTGCATCAGTCATGGGACAAATGAGAGGCCTTTATCACTAGTCCCGTTCAACAGTCACTAAGCCTCCCTAGCCTGTCTCACTAGTTACTATACTTTCAGGCATGGCATTTGCTTGTTGGAGCATATGTATGGGATTTAAAACTAAGACCTCACAATTCGCCCAACTGACAAACTCTACGACGAAGGTGCCCGACGTCGACGACGAACAGTATACCATCAGCTGTCAAGCGACTGGGTAGCTAGGTCCTCGTGGCCGCTGCTGCGTGTGTATGGGGGGGGGGGGCTGACAAGCGGTGGATGCGCTGAACCAACACGAGGACTACCTTGGATTCCGGCTGGCGTTATCAGGAATGCGCATCCCTGACAAATGCCAACATTCGGTGTGCGGCGGCAGGCTCACGCAGCGATAAGTGAGATCCCTGCCGACCCCCCATTTTTGTTGTTGTTGGTCAAAATTCTGATCAAGTACTTGCTGTGGACCAGGGGGAGTGTAGTGGTACGCGCCAAGATGCAGGTTTTTGGCTGTGCTTACCCCCTACGCCCTCTCTTGCCTCCGGTCTTCTTGACTCTGTTATGACACCGGATGGGGTAGGGTAATGCCACCTGTGGTGGTTCCTATTCTTGTATTAGATTTGGGGCTGCATGTAGGACAGGGGGAATAGGCACCCTCTGGAATTTAGCATGATGCTGCCTGCTGTACCGGGGCTCCGTATTCTCATGTTTTTTGATCTGATTGAATGATTTGGGATGCCTCGTGGCATTTATGTGTCTGAGTTCTCAACACCGGGTGTTAGTATTAATTAGAAAGTGAATCCTGCAAGTACAGAGTACTCCACTCCCAACAGTACCGATCGATTTTAGAGGACTTACTCCGAGGACTCTCACCGAATCCTAAAATACTTATGGTCAGTGGCTTCAGTTCGATTTAACGCATGAGGCAGAATGAAATTGGGAAAGCAACACATACAAGAGATAGCCGGACACCAAATATAGAAAGACTGAAATATCAAAATAAACGGAAAAAGGCACTATCCGCCACCCAAATGCATCATTCACTTAAAAGTTCTAAGTCAGAGATTGGGGTAATTTGCTGAGTTGCATTTTCAGAATCGCTTTAAAAATGCTGCAAGACATTCTTTCTAGCACTGAACTTGCCTTTATTGACCACAAATAACAAGTTAATACACAGCGAGAATAGTCACAATATTACTTAAACATCCGACGAATCTTTCAATGTGTCTGTTAGGTGGAGCCAGACAGACGCTGTTCGCAAAGTACTTTCCCAATTTGGCCTGATGCTTCCTGCAGGAATTGTGCTATCTCTCCAGCACTAGTTTGCGCCTGTGTCGATTAGCTGAATTGAAAGGAGGTAGAGGGGAGGCCTAATCACATTTTTGATCTAGGCTGTATGAAGAGAAATGCGACTTGACTAGTCGCTGAATAAAGCCTAAAAGAACGCATCCATTCTCCCAGAGCTGTCTCCCCTGGGAGCAGCAGTTTCACGCACACCCTCATAGCTAAAAACAACTAGAACGAACCAAAAAAGGAATTGGGGAGACTGAACTCATTTTTTCCCCAAGGCCACTTCATAAGTATTTTGGCCAAAGGCCTGCAAAAGCTGTGGCAGGTGACCAACAGATCACATTTATTCGAAAACGCCAGAAACCCCATACGGCATAACAGTTTAAAGCAGAGAACTTCTAAAGGACAGAGAAGCGGGTAAATTAAAAATTAAAACAGTCTTGGCCGCTCAGATATGGCTCCGCCAATCAAAAATATTCTAGCTGGCTGAGCAGGGGAAAATGGGCCCCCTGTGTCGTGTTTTAATTTTAACCCTAATACTAACACTAACCCTAAGCGCTAGGACACGGAATTAGGAACCGCTCGCAATACAGGTGGCCTTACTTCAAATTCCAGGTGGCGTTATGGTTAATTTCGGGGTTAGGTTTGGGATTGGGATCAGGATTGGAACACGGGAGTGGCCACCCCTCGTGGGATGTAGCGCAAGGCCACTTTCATTTCGGAGGTTCCTATTTCCGTGTCTTATCAATCGTTAAAACGCAACTTCGGAAGAGCACCCGATGAAATGACTTAATACTGACGCTAACACTGAATCTTACTCAAACCATCATACATGAGACTAACCCGAAAACAAATTCGGTTATCTTTTTGATTAGGGTAAGAGCAAATGTCGCCAATATATATAGCTGGATTGATAAAGGCAAAGGCAATTATGTTTTAAAATAGCAGTGAACAGGACCCCTGTTGGGAGTGCCTACACCCCCAAAAACAAGAGCCGGCCAATCACGGAAGGCCACCTGCGTTTTCTCTACTGCGCTGGCATCTTAATCGTGGCGCCTCTCCATTGGCTTTTTCCCTCGGGCCCGATCGATCTGAATATTCGAATTATCGGCCGGCTCGTCTGGAATGTTCTTCCCGAAAGGCATTTGACCGAATGCCGGCGAAGCACAGTAGGACGTTATAAATATGCGCTACTTCCGGTTAATTTTGACTTGCAATTTCCTAATACACGCTTACGTGGCCGGTAGCGTTCTCCTTCTCTGCCACGTTGGTAGTGGGGACAAGGGTCGAGTGCGTATACGCTCCACGGGATTTCAAGTACCAGGCGGGTCATAACAACCCCAAAGCAGCCAAGTTTTGAGACCAAATCGTCGTAGAAAAATCAAAATATCTCATAAAGCATTTTTAGCCCATTAATCGCTTGTTGTTTCTTAGACATACACACTGTCGAAATCCGAAACACGGCCACAACACATTCAGAGAAAGCATTAGCTCCCTAGGTGTCAGCTCGATCATCGAGCGCGACACTGTCCGCCGTCTGCCTCCATGAATTGTGCGCGCAGGATGGTGACTTGCTCGTGAGTTAGTTTGTGGGGAAATTAGACTTTCGAAACATCTGCCGCACCCTCTCCTCCTTAACTCTCCTGGGTCCGGTATTAAGAGAGGGGGTCAGGGCAACCCCTAGGCGTGCTCGGACACGGTGGCTGACAGACCTAAAGGGCCCGCGTAAGCATGTCAAACACGACCTGTTCTGAAAACGATGGAGCATCTTATCACAGAAACAAGGGGGTGGATTAGATCCTCTCCTCTGTCATTGAGCACAAATTAAGAAAAAGTGATCGCAGTCTAACTCTCAGTCCTCGAGTCAGCCGACAGTTCGACCGTCATTTACAACGATGTCCACCTTCTGCTCCACAATAGGCTGGGGGTGGGGACGGTGAATTGCACGTGACTTCGTTTATACTGACTGTAGACTTTCGCTGAATTTACTAGACTCCTCCCCACCTGGGCTCGATCTCAAGGCAGAGTCAAGAAGACCGGAGACGGGAGAGGGCTCAGGCGGCTGGTACGGCCAAAGTCGCACCTTAGCAGTGCTACCATACCGGCTCGAACCCCACTGAATTGCAGTGACATGAAGGCCGCGTTAAGAAGGAACCGTTACAGCCTGACTCTCAACCCACTAGTAGGCCACTCGTAATAAAAGCACACCGGGCTGACTGCGAGATCCGAATTGTCCCGTAAGTCGGCAGCCTTCAAGGCCGCAACTTTTAGTACAAAGAGGTGACTTCAAGAGCGTCAGACTGTTTTTAGTAAGGAATGTGCTCTGGGACCATCGAGCCCACTCTCTCATTCTAATCCCAGGCACCAGTCCACTGTCCGAGTCGATCAGTTGTCTGATTTGGGGAGTTGGCGTAGTGACTGATAAGGCTAGAGAGCTCGCCTGCGCTCGTTATATACACAATCTGACCCCTCAAATGCACACACCAGGATTACAGACACAAGGGAATAAGCGGCCCGAATCTCACATAGATGAGAGAGTGCCGTTAACAAGGAGACATTACATCTTGCCTCCCTGTCTACCAGTCAGCGGCTCGATTCAAAAACACGCACGTTCGTCGGTGCGGATCACACACAAGCACTGGCCTCACAAACGCACACAAAGATTTCATACGTGGGTCGTCTGCTCAGATCTCACATGCAGCAGAGGAGCCACATGGAGAAGGGACCGAAAAACACACTACTTGCGTGGTAGGTGCCTAGTTTGTGCCCGCGTGTGTGATGTTGGTGGTGTTCGTGTGTGCTGCACGTGTTGATGGGGAAATGCGTAGTGACGTGGTCTAGTTTGCGGTAATTAACCACAGATTTTCTTAAAGGTTGAATATACGAGAACGATGCGGGCAATTGAGGCGATGGCGTCTGGTGCACGTTGATGCTGCAGGCACTGGTCCGGCAGTCTTTGTGCGGTGGATTGCAGATGGCCGTGCAGGCGAATGTGTGGCGTGCATGTGCGGTGGCAGTTCCGACAGGATGGGTCGGGAGATGCTGAGTCTGTTGGGACTGTTATGCAGCTTACGGTGGCTACGCTGGTGGGTGGGGAGTTGGTATGGTTGGGGATAGGATAGTTTGTCGGTGTGCAAGGTATGCTTGGTGTGTCCATATTGCGGTGACCTCCGCGGTCGTGGATACGCATTTGACCTAGCAAATCCATGCTGTGAATTAGTGTGCGTGGACAGCGGTGAGATCCTAGTCAGACGTGACGCGTGTATGTGGGAACTCCTGGAACTGGTGCGCCAATCGCAGTGCGATAGATTTGCAATTGACTGACCACGCCGATACGTAGGTAAATGTGCGATTGCAATGAGGACAAGTTGGGACACAGTCCACATTGCTGGTGGTGGCAGGCGTCTGAAATGTGGCGGGAGTGGGAGGGCTGGTAGTCGTCGCCGTCCTCGCGGTGGTTGAGGCAGGGATAATGGGAGTGGCGGTGATCGACTGCGGCGGGGCATCGGGAGGGAAGGCCTTTATCGTGGACGCCGTGGAGGTCGGTACACAGGGGTGGCGATTAAGGCGATTGTTGTTGCACTGAGTCTTTAGATGTCCGACGAGACCAATCCGCGCAAAAAGTCTGTTGGGAAAGTTGGCTTGTTGAGAGGAGGTGTGTGTTGGTGTTGTGGATCGGGGAAGCTGGGACTTGCGAGCCGTTCTTTTGGTTTTGGCAGCGGCGATCCGGTTGACTTCATAGACTGCTGCTCCAATTTTCACAGCTCTTCTGAATGCTGATCAGTCCTTGGGTCCTTTGCGAGGTCTTCCCAGGTTTTCGGGTTGATGTGTTAGCGCCTTAAATTAAACACGCTGAGTCGGCTTAGTGGTAGACCCTAGCGGGCTTCAGTTATGATGGACGATCCTGCAAGGTTCCGAAGCTGGACAAAGGGCCATTTCCACCGGGGTCTCTCTCTCTCCTGATCGTTAAGGCAGACGGTCTAAACGACTAAATCACCTTCATAATATTGTATGACAGTCTGATATCACCGATCTAATCAGCATCCTATTTCCACACGGATCCTGCCTTTTCGACAGCATCTGAGCCTTCTCAGATCATGGCCAGCCATTCTAATCACCAACCTCGTAATCAGCAGACACATACTGAACACAACTCAAGCATGACATGATATGATCTCTACGGCAAGGCTCTTTAAGTCGAGGCTCCCGTTATGCTAACACTAACAAGTAGGGAGAGTCATCTTGGGATCGACAATCGCTGGTGGGGATACTGCGACATTCTAATCTGAATAGTTGCACTCTAGCCTCGTTTCAAGGCCTGGTTCGCTGTACGAAACGGCAACAGCACCAGTGGCAACTCAGATTTGGATTCGCGGAACACTGCCCATTCCAATTTCACCATCATTCCTTGTTCGCATTGTGACCTGAGAGGGCAGTTACGAGTTGCTTCTACTGTATACGTCCAGTCCACTGCAAAGTAACTGAAAACTCATCTCACCAATACTCCGGCTGTTGGACACAGGAATAAGTACTCCCCCGCACTACAGGCGACTTGGAGTTAGATTCCAGGGAGATACCTATTCTCGTGTCCCAACTTTAACCATAACTCCAACCCCGGCCCTAAGGCTTGCCTACTTCCCCGAACACAACCTCCCCTGGGATTTAACAAATGGTTACCTGTAATGCACTTAGAACCGCGTCCCCACTCCCCAGGTACAGAATCTAGGTGACCTAACCTATTCACTTCCCGAAGACAACGAAGACCATCCAACCATTGCACATATCACCTAAATCACAAACGCAATCGTCAGGATGGATGGTTCTCGCATGTCATCCCGAGGCAGTCTTGCACACTGCCCCCTGTTTTGCGAGCGTGGAAGTGGTATGCCAAGAACCGGTAGGACCTTAAGGAAACGAGGCTTGTAATTAGTAAAGCCGTTGTACCTGCCTAGTGGTCTGCTTTAGTCACGAAATCCAAAGTACATCCTAGCTTTAATAAAGCCAACGTGGCCATCTAACGTGTTCTTTATTCAAACCTTTTAAGTTAAACGTTGTGCCGCCTTACCTCCGGCTGTATGAGATGTCAGCTGGGACAGGGAATTTTCAAGGTCACCTTGAGGACGGTCAACGAATTCTGCTGGAAGCGGGAGGGGAATGAAGATAACCAGCTGGTTTGGGGTTTCAAACTCCAGTCGTCAGTCATAGGGTTGTAGTGAACATGAGCATATGATTATTAGTTCACAATTTGGTATTCCCTTAATTAAGTATGTGGTCACGGAGTGCAGTACGGTTCTCTGATCTGCGTTATTTCTCCCTAATCTTTGCGTTGCCTCTCAAGCACATCAAATCTAAGCAGCCATATTCAGCAACGATGTGACTGGGTGGAATGTTTATAGGAGCTCTGGCAAACAAACAGGAAGCGTGCCATTTCCTCAAAGGTTAATGATAGGTTGTAGGACCTCGAGCATGTGTTGCATAGAAAAACTGCCTACTATACTTGTTTAAGTAGGACATTGGTCCTTGAGTATTGATCTAGACATGGAGTTCGCCTTCGGTTGAACTACCTTGTAGCACACATTTTCCGTGCGGATTTCAATAACTTATTAGCTTACTTAGCCTCTCCAGCCCGTCTCAGGCGTTACTTCTTCAGTTTACCATTACCTCGCATGAGCTAAGGACAGAAGGTTCAGAAGCGATCGGTGCGCTTTAATAGTCTATCGCAAACGTCACGATTCAATTTACCATGACTTTCTATGAGCTTAGTTCAGAGAGTTCGGAAGCGATCGTATTGCTTCCCTCTCTCGTCGCATACGTTACTCCTCGCCTTGCCATTATCTGCCATGACCTAAGCTCAAACATTTGAGAGGTGATCGTGACTCCTTTGTTCCCTACTGATTGCGAGGCGGATGTGGATACTACCCTGCACTCTGCATTTACTTGACTTGAACTTACCTCAGAGAGTCGAGAAGTGATCGTACCATTCCGGTGACCTCCAGGTACTGCGGCAAGTGCAGGCACTTCCCCGCACTGAACATTTGTGCAACCGTGACTTACGTCAAGGATATGAGAAGGTAGTTGGCTCGAACCGAATTTGTATAAAGGCATTCATTCACAGTGCGGCGATGAACCGTTCACGTTGATGAGCGTTTCGTTAACTTGCAATTCCATTCCGGTGCCTCCAATCTGAACGTTATTCCTCATGAAGGCCGCTGAGCAGATGTTCCAGCAAATTGCATACCATCTGACATCCATCAGGTAGCACACTCTAACATCTTCTTCGTACTTAGTGACCCTTGTTCCCCACAAAAATGTCAGCCAAAGTTTCATAATTGTTCTCATTCCTAATCGGCGCTCTCAAACACCGAGCCAGTTCCAAGTGCTTTCCTCCTTCTGCATCGTGCACATCAGAACAGATAGCCATCCTTGTTGTGTTTCCGGACTTGCGGTCGTATTTCGTGTCTGCATTGGCAGGTTAGCACGGTTAGCAGTAATCGTCTGGCTTGATAGTACTCCACAATCTTCTCTGAAATAATCATTTCCATTACTTTTTTAGTTTTACCACGTCAATGAGGGTGGGATTTAGTTTCCCCGTTTGCTGCTGCTGACGATGGACAATTTTAGGAAAAAAATAAGCTCTTAAAAATACTCTTCTCTAAAACATATTTCCTATTTACATTGAGTCTTTGCTTAGTTTCTTTGGATTTGTTAATATCTGTATAAATACACTGCCAGTTTCCACTACACAGTTTATGCTTCCCTAAATTTACTTTCTAACCATCTGCCTACACTTTTCATTAGGTAGCTTTGAAAGGGTACAAAGTTATTTGTGAGTGCTTACATTACACCGGCCTCGTGTTGCATTCAGAGATTGGCTGATGTGGGTTCGCTATCGTTTGTTAATAACATAATCACGTACACTAAAAAACAGTGGGAGTGGAACCATCACTTGTTGTGCGCCATTCCCATTAACAGGAATTGTCTTGGCTCCCTGGATGGGTGTAAACTTGCCATCGGCGGCTTATTTAGGCCCCATCACTTTTTAAAACCCAATTTTTGCTTATTTTTTAATTATCTCGCAAATCTTCTGTCGTTATACAGTAGCGCATTTTAGGTTTTTGGCTAGAAATCTAAATATTCCCTGCGCTTCCTTGACTTCGACTATCCACCCCGTGCACGTACTGCCTCGTCTGTAAAAGCTCTCGTACCAACATTCCCGTAAGACACAGTCCATTGGCGATTGGCTTATTTTCGAGTTCGTACAACTCATCGTTGCGCCTCGAAGCCCCTGTTTCGCGTATCCTCATCCACAGCAGCGAAAACGACCCTTTTTCAATTTAGGCGTTTGCAGACATGTATGTTTCCTCCATTCGTTTATGCTGAAAAACTCCGGCATAGGAAATCATGCAGTTCTTTCAAACTGTAACACTTGTTTTCTGACTACTGTTTACTTGACTTCAAAATAGTCTCTACGGAAAACATGATTATTGAAAAACAGCCGACGTTTGAGAAACGGTAGTCGATATTGCAAGCATCCACGCGACTGCGATACTGTTTTAACCATAGGATCAGAATGTGGCCAGCTTAATCTTTCGTCGGAAGGCTGATTAGCAGGATGCAGACACTTGATTTTCCAACCATCGAATTACTCCGGATCGCCCCCTCTGGCGCCAGTGACCAGTCCAAGCCTTTTGACTCATTGATTACAGGACCAGGTGGGGTGACTGACATGGTGTCAGACCCAGCACCTCACTATAATATTTCTGACAATCTGGAATTAACCCCAACGCGTAAAACTCGTAGTTTGGAAGGCTGCAAGCTGACGGGGCAATGATAGCTTCTTCTGGAACCCGGGAAAACTGCAATGCTTTCTTCTTAATGTCGCTGTTATGACACTGTCACATAAGTGAGATCCAACCCCCTCCCCCAATGAGGCCTGGTATAGGCAGCGTTAGGAACCAGGTCGTGCATAACATGGGTAGGTGACAGTTTTTCGCTCCGTCTTAACAACAAAAATATGGGAGCTGCGCTCTCCTGTCTCGCGGCCCTGTGTGAAAGTTACCGATAACAATCAGTTCCCAACAAAACTCATATAAGTGAAAATGTGCTCTCCCTAATAGAAATCAGGAGGCACGACCTCAGGGGGCGTAAACTTGCTTTCCGAAAATTTTCAAACCAGCCGTTTTAAGACTCATCAGAGGGCGTTATAAGGATGGTCGGCAGCATTTAAAAGAACTGAACTTCTTCGTGAACTGTTGGTCAGGGGTCATCCCTCCAGACACCGTAGCTTTGAGTAAGCCGATATCCTATAAGATACTGCTATTCCTGCTTTGTCCCGACCTTTTTGACGTGACCAGCGTAAGGGTGGCAGGTGAATAATGGATACTTACAACTGTGTATCTCCGTACGCTCATTATCAACCCACGTTAAGGCTGCTGTCCGCATCCACTCACTCCCTTCCGAGCCCTGCGAACCGGTCGGTTGAGCTGTGCATGTAGGGCCTAATATGACACTGGGAGGGGGCAAATATTGACAAATATCGCGCTCACACAGTATATGTTCTATCTTATGAAATGCTGACCGAAATTCTAAAATGCATTTTCGATCCGAAAAGATTACTTGGAGTCGGTGGCCACTATCGTGAAATTTTGGCTGGAATTCTGAGATGCGTTTCCGACTTTGAAGGATTACTTAGGCTGGGTTCTAATACCGATTACCACGCGGCATAACCCCACAATATTTCTGACTCGCCAGGATGTTGGCTTTTGAATACACTCCTTTTCGACCTTCTATAAAAATCGCATTCAGTTAAAAGCGATTACTTAATTAGTAGGAATTTCTCACATTAAATTTAGATGCCCTTATAGATTCAAATATAGTTTTTTAAAAAAAAACATTCACAAAAGATGCTTTATTGTACTCATTTGTTAGCAAATCACACTTTCTTCAAAGTTCCTGCACGATGAAAGAGTATCTTTCGGTTTTAAAACATTCTTCAGTTTCCGACTAATTTTGGGTCTAATTTGACTTCGTGTTTGTGTTTAGGCGGTCTACAAGGTGCACAATTTCCTGTAAGGAAACTTATATCCCTCTATGCATTCATAAGGAGCAGTAATAAACAGACGGGGTGTAGGGGTGTCAGCGGTGGGTTCACGTAATGGTCGTGGTGGTCGCTCACTTGCTTGCAGGTGAGACTGCGCCTAGCGTCCACTTGCTGGCACTCAACTCTCACCTGTGGCTCCACGTAGCTGGGCTCTGCTCAGCGGCCACACCCCGGGCAACCATCTCGACCGGCGGGCTAAACCAGGTGAGGGGACCCTGTGCGCTGTGCCGTGTGCACAGGGTTTGCGGATTCCGCTGGATGGAAGGTCGGATGGAACCTTGCGTCGGCACCGTCGTGACGTGGTTCGTCTCTGCACGTTGCTTGACAGCCGGTGACGGGATGGATCTCCACATCGACATCGCCTTGACGCGCCCACCCTCGCCGACGGAGACCGCGGCTTACGGCGAATTCGAGTCGCTCTCCACTACAACCCGAAGTCGTGGTCCCATAGTGGAGTTCGGCCGTGCCACAACGGCACATGGCAGCCCTATTCAGGGATGGCACTGCCAGCCCCCACGAGGGGAAGGGCCTAGAAAAGGTGGCCTAAACATTGCTGGGTACCACGCCGTCTCCAGACTAGCCAGGGCCGCAGACGTCTAAACATGGTCGAAACAATCAAAATCGAAACAACAACAATACCAATAACAACAACAACAACAACAACCATACTCATTCTCCTCATCCTACCTCTTCTTCCTCTACCTCCGTCTATTCTTCTGCCTATTCTTCTCCTTCGTCATCTTCTTCTCCATCTCCTTCCCGTCGCCCCACTCGTTGTCACCAGACTGGCAGGGTGAGCGCGCTCACTCTGGCAGCCTGGAATGTTCGTTCCCTTTTAGACAATCCGAGGAGCAACCGACCGGAGCGGAGGACGGCGCTAGTGGCACGAGAACTGGCGCGCTACAAGGTGGACATCGCCGCACTCAGCGAGACCCGTTTCTCCGAACAAGGCCAACTGGAGGAGGTGGGTGCCGGCTACACCTTCTTCTGGAGTGGTCGACCCAGAACAGAGCGACGGGACGCGGGCGTCGCCTTCGCCATTCGGAAAGACATCGTGGGACGACTGCCCTGTTTGCCGCAGGGCATCAACGATCGCCTGATGAGCCTCCGCCTGCCTCTCTGGGGAGGCAAATTCGCCACCATCATCAGCGCCTACGCTCCGACGATGACCAACCCTGACGCCGTCAGAGACAAATTCTACGAGGACCTGCACGCCCTCTTGGCGACTGTGTCGAAGGCGGACAAGTTGATTGTCCTTGGTGACTTCAACGCCCGCGTCGGCACAGACCATACTGCCTGGAGAGGAGTGCTGGGTCCCCACGGTCTCCGCGGCTCAAACGACAATGGTCTGCTGCTTCTCCGCGCCTGCGCAGAACACCGCCTCATCCTGACGAACACCTTCTTCTGTCTGCCGGAGCGAGAAAAGGCCACCTGGAGGCATCCTCGGTCGCGTCAGTGGCACCTGCTGGACTATGTCCTCGTCCGGAGGCGAGATCAGCGGGACGTGCTGGTGACGAAGGCGATCGCGGGTGCTGACGGGTGGACCGACCATCGCCTCGTCATCTCGAAGATGCGTATTCGCCTACAGCCTCGCAGGAGACCACAAGGTAAGCGACCCCCAGGTAAGCTGAATGTTGCTTTGTTGTCTTTGCCCACTCACCATCTTCACTTCAGCAATGAGCTAGCTCAACGGCTAGACAACCTTCCTATCGCTGCCGCCGCCGACGACGCCGCCGCCGCTGCCGAGAACGCCTCCGTGGAGAACCGCTGGTGTCAACTGCGAGACACGGTCCAGTCGACGGCGCTCGCCGTCCTCGGTCGCGCTCCCCGCCAACACCAGGACTGGTTCGACGACAACGACGCTGCCATCAGAAATCAGCTAGCTGAGAAGAACCGCCTACACAAAGCCTACGTAGATCATCCCACTGATGCCAC